TAATTCCTATCCCACTAAATCACTAATGTTCTATTTTCGTATGACAACGTTCTTGCAAGTAGGTGTATATATATATATTAGCATTTGTAAACTAGACGTACTTCAGCCTATGGCTGCTATGTTTTTAGTCAATAAAACTATCTATCTATTTATCTTATAACGAGTATTTAAGGTGTAAAATCTCACTTTATAAAAAAAAATTACAAAAATTTAGATCAATAAAATCTCCAGTGAGAGTAATATAATTTATGCCAGTCTTTTGTTATATTTATTAATTGATCTATTGTACCCACCCCTCCCCCCTTGTTCTAGTTGACCTACCCTTCACTTCTTTTTGTACCCACCACCCCTCCCCCCTTGTTCTAGCTGACCTACCCTTCATTTCTTTTCGATAAGAACCCTGCTCTTTGTGTACCATATGTTTTATGTCCTTGAGTACCATGTAGACTGTACCCACTCCACCCCCCTTGTTCTAGTTGACCTACCCTTTACTTCTTTTTGATAAGAACCCTGCTCTTTGTGTGCCACGTATTTTATGTCCTTGAGTACCATGTAGACTGTACCCACCCCTCCCCCCTTGTTCTAGTTGACCTACCCTTCACTTCTTTTCGATAAGAACCCTGCTCTTTGTGTACCATGTATTTTATGTCCTTGAGTACCATGTAGACTGTAGCCACCTTTAACTTGAGTTGACTAGGAGACAATCAATAGACTCACTTAGTCAGGGTGGTCCCACATGTCATTCCCTTGAATATTATTTCTTTGTTTTGTTTTAAAGATTCTTAAAGAGACCGTTTTGGAGTTCCAAATTACCAATGTGTTCCTTGATTACAGCTAGATCACATTTATACGGGGTTAGCCTTATTTTATTGTCCAATTGCCCTATTTCACTATGACGTCACATCAAAACAATCTATTGTTTAAACGCAAAGGATCATGGTCGTCGTAGGGGGTCAAATCAACGCAAATTCACCGAAAATTGTTCTAAAACCCGTATCAATCCACGAAGAGAAGTAGAATAGACAGCAAACACTCAGAATATTTTTTAGTACATATTAACACATATTATATCTGAAAACCAGGCCATTTTAGATTAAACTGTTTCACTAGGAGAAAATTTTGTTGAATTTTCTATTGGATTTGACGATTCTATCCCCCATAAAACAAGCAGTGACGTCATAGTGAAATAGGGCAATTAATATTCACAAAAAGTAAAGTAAAGAATGCACAACCTCAACAATACAAACACCATTCGAAAATGGATCCAAAAAAGCAGCTATCCTTTATCTTAATTTTTTTGTTTTGTTTTTCATAGTAAAATCTCACCTCTGGGGTCTCAGGTTTGATTCCTGTACTCTGTATCACGTGTGTAGAGTTTGTTGGGTCTCTCTCTTGATTGAAGGGTTTTTCTCTTAGTTCTCAAATTTTTCTCCAACCCTTGATAAAAGCTATTGTCCCTCCACATTAGTTTAGTGTTATATAAGATATGATGTCTTATTATACGACAAACTCAATTTCCTATGTATTACACTATTTTTTTAGTGCAATTACAGAGCAATAATACACAGCCTGTCAACCAGTTTTGAACAGGTTTTTGGTGATGTCAGCATGATGAAATGTCGTACGATAAACAATGTATTACACTGCTAATTATTGTCTATTACCAACAGATAATTTTACTCGTGAAGCTGTGTTTTAACCACTTTCAATCATAAATGTAATACACAACTAGCTGTGTAATAACCTCCATTTACTAGACACATTGTACTAACGCTCTACCTTGGGGTCAAGACAATGAAAAATAATAAGATCAAAAAATATTTCAATCCACAAGAGAAGGGAATAATTTTAGTTTTGACCCTAAATAAGGAAAAAGTGCAAAGCATCTATTCTCAGATTTTCTCGGCATACCTCTTTCTCAGATTGTAACAGCGCCTTGAGTTCATTTTTCATGTTGATCAGTTCTTTCTTGTCTTCGTCTTGTTTTGAGCGCAGCTTTAACAGGATATGGCAAAAAGGAAAGAAATTAATGAATAAAGCTATTTATTTGGTGTGCTGCTAATGTGCTGCCTTTCGCCAATAAATGTGAACAGGGTTGGAATCCAGGACTCAGCATCATGTGTGAGTAGAGTTTATTTATTGCTGCTTTTATGCTTTACAGGTTTCTCATCCAAGTTCCCCAGCGTTTCCTCACCAGAGGAGGAGACAGTTCATTTTTTTCATTTTTGGGGCGCAGGAAGGATGGGGGGGGGGGGGGGGGGGGTGGGCTGAAGGGATTTAGGGTTTAGGGTGCCAAATATAAAAAAATAAAAAATAAAAAATAAATGAAAAAGATGACATTTAAGAGGGACCACCCCAAAAATAATTAGCTAAATAGAAAACTTATATAAAAGATTATTGTCTTGTTAGGGGACCACATAAAAAAAAATTCATGTTGGGTCCAAGGGGTCACACCTTTTTTACATATAACTCACAAAATCCCTCATATTCCCTTAAAAAATGGTCCCTAAATTCTAACTTGATCTATCTACCCCCCCNCCCCCCCCCGCCCAAACCACAAACACAAACACGTTTAGGGCGTGCCATAGTCCTTAGAAAAGTGCTTTTGCAAGAGAGAGCTAAAACAAGCAACACCTCCAATGAAAACATATTAAAGCCAAGCTAAATACATCATTGTGTTAAAATGCTATTCTTACCTGATGTAATTCATGCATCAATTCTTCAACGTATCCCTTCAGACTATCTAACACATCCAAACTCTCTTGAAAATACCTGAGAATATTGAGATCTTATTAATTAAAGACCAAATGGTCCCAACATTTGACACAATATTTAAGCTTAGCCTCCTCCACTGGCTACCCCATATATTGATGGTTTTCACGGCGGCCATGTTGGAGGAACTTAACAAAAGAATTGTCAATGAATTCTTTTGTTATATCCTCCAACATGGCCGCCGTGTCTTTTGTTATTTAATTCTCTTGGGAATGGTTGAAAACCATCAATATTCTCTTTTGGGATCCCTGCGTTAAATCTTATAGCAGAGAAGAACTAGGAATGAGAAATGAGAGAGGAGTAGTAGTGGGGACGACTTTATGTCCTCACCACAGGAAGCCCAAGGAGCAAAAGGAGCCAAAGAGATGCCTGCAGAGAAGGATAATAAATTAAGCTGATGTTACACTGGACAATAGTCCCCTTCACAGTTCCCTGCGCCATCTCCAAAGGCAACCATGCCTTTGCATCAAAGCAAGATGAACAGTGAGCTTGCAATGATAGAGACCTTTTTAAAACACCTCGAATAATTATTCACATGTCTCTATCATTGCAAGCACACCGTTCGTCTTGCTTTCATGCAAAGGTATGGTTACCTTTCAAGATGGTGCAGGGAACTGTGAAGGAGACTATTCGGAACAGTGATTTTCACGATACCTTCTTGCACGAACAATTGAAGGCATGGAAAGCCAGAATTTGTGTGGTCCATGACAGTGTTTACTGAAAAAAGGACTTACCTTATTTGAGCATGGTAGTAGTCCACAAGATGGGTGGCCAGTTCTACACTTTTCTTTGCCTTGATTTCATTGACTTTAATTAAATACTAAAGAAAGTAAAGAACAAGAATTAGATCCAGGCAGTCAAGCATGGGGGTGAAGCACAAAATAAAAAATGAAATTATTTCCTGCATCAGAGTTTTAAATTTTGAAACATTCTAACTTGTGGGACATAGCAATGACATAAACTTACTTAATTAAATAAATAACAGGGTTCGTGCTACATTTTCGTTACAAAATTCAAGAACTTTTTTAAGCACTTTTCAAGCACAAAAGTTCAATTTTCAAGGACAAAGTTTTTTGTATTAGAACATGGTTTTAACATTGATTCAATGTTACAGTGCAGCTAATTCAGCCGGGGCCACTAGCTTAGACAAATAGATCTTTAATATACGCATTCTTACCAGAAGTACTCAGATATTCAGCTAGGCTATTTACGAAATATACGAAAACTCTTCAATCAATTTTAATCCTTATTTATTTCAAAGGAAAGTTAGAAATAGCATTAAGTTTGCATTAAATTCAAGGAGTATTCCAGGAGTTTTGGCATTTTTCCCTATTTTCAAGAGCTTTTCAAGCGCCCTTGAAAACGTGTTTTCAATTCAAGGACTTTTCAAGGATTTCAAGGAGTAGCACGAACCCTGAAATAAACTTACTTCACACATTTGAAGCTGGAAGTTTCTTCGTTCTTTTTCTGTTTCTTCTGCCATCTATGAAATAAACAATTTAGAATGTCAATATTGTGCTCATTACAGTAAGAACAAAGAACTGATAAAGCAAATAGTTTAAACTCAGGATAAATGTCAAGGATCGCAAACAAACCTAAAAAGTGGGGGGAGGGGGACTAAGATTGGAAAATATAAGAGACTAGTATGGGAAAAAGAAAAAATTGGGACAGCTACGTCTCCACGGTCCATAAATATGTTTAATGGAATCATCTGGGTAAGATGTGCGGTCATTTGTAAATTGTACCTGTAACTTATTATACAGTATAAGTGATTCACTGCAGGGTTTGAAATTTGTTTTCAAAATCAGAAGCCAAAAAAAAACACATAATAACTATGCTAAACTATCCCCAAGTGATCCATAATGCCTTGCAATTCAAGATGGTCACCACAAGTAGTCCATTTTCAAAGCACTCGTGCCATGATTGGGACATTAATAAATTATAACGAGTCATCCTTAAAACAAAGATTTTACTCACCTCACTGCCTGTTACTTCAGTTCTCATCAAACCAGCTTCTTGTGCCAGTTTTTTCTTCTCCTTTTCTATTTTTAAGCTGGCAAAGAAATATTGATTACTCAATTATAAAGTCTAAAGCAAGTCTACAGTCTTGACTAACAAAAATTCTTCATTTTCACATTATGTTGTTGCAGAGATTGATGAATATTATATTATTATTGTTATTATATTATTATTATTATTATTATTATGGTGGTAGCTAGAGTGCATGCCATATATCCATTAAACTCATCATACATTATTAGTAATGTATATTAACGTATATAGGTGGCCAGCGGCAGAAAACAAATGGAAAAAGCAGCTATCATAGACTATTTTTTGCTGCTACTCAGATTTAGTCTAACATTGCCTAAATTTCATTTAACCTCATTAAAATAAGTACTATGGAGGCTTTGCACCATCACATGATGGCAGCCATGACAGGAGGCATAACAATAGAGTCTTTCTCACCTGGGAAACTGAATTCTTTCTCATGTAAATCAGATTAGACCAGCCTCCTTTCATGACTGCCATCACATGATGATGCAAAGCCCTCATTTTAGCCAAATCCCATAGTCCTAGCCTATGTTTTGCTTAACAATCCCATTCCCATTTTTTTTTTCGTTGTTGTTGTTGTTTTTCACAGATATACAATCTAGATAATTTGACAATACAGATGATGGATGCTGGGCATGCGTTTTTTGCTCATCTGCATCCCTCAGGTTGAAAGATGTACATTTTAATATAAAATAGACCTCTTTGGCTCTGACGTAATGTTTTCCTATTTCAGACCACGTGTCATTCCCTAGAGTATCATTTCTTTGTTTAAGGTTTGCACTCGGTTGCACATGAGAAGACACATGAATATGGATACAATTCAAACAAAGAATCTTACATTGTATTCTCATTGTATATTCAGAGGAGGTCTATTCTCTACTTTCACATCCCCATAATGCCTTGCGTCTTTGGGGGGTAACCAATCAAAAAACTGTCCCAAATTGAAAGGTTTCTTATTGAATTTATACTATACCTGCTTTTATCTGTACAATACTGATTATTAGTTTATTCCAAGTTATTTTTGCGTGTTCAGATCATGAAGAGTTTTGGTCTTACAGAAAATATATTGACTTACGAAAAAAATTTTTAAATTTACCTTAAACGTCTTCAAGCTTCTATCATTTTCTGTTTTTTTACTTCTTCATTTTATCTTTGGATACCAAACAAGGTATTTTCAACATTGTCTGATCAGCCTTCAGCAAAATAAGTGGGTTTTTACCCTCTGGTTACCCCCCAAAGACGCAAAGGATTATGGGGATGTGAAAGTAGAGAATTAATGAAATAGTGCTGTTAAATTTTTCAAAGGTTAAAAAATTGTACAGGTATCCACTGTTATCATATGAGGCATACCTTTTAGCTTCATAATCTTTTAATGCTCTTTCAAGTGGTTTTCTAAGTTCCTGAAAACGAATAAAACATGAAAATTGTTCTGAATGTAATGGAGTATTGGGTTTCCTGTGCTAAGTAGAATGGACGGGCCTGGTCCTTCTGCATGTATGTCAAACCTATTGCTGGTTTTCAACCATTGCCAAGGGAGTAAAATAACAAAAGACATGGCAGCCATCATGGTTGATATAACAAATGCATTCATAACGTGTCTGTACTGGAGAGCAAAATTTTTATATTTATTTTAAATTAGTGATTTTTTTTAGCTACTTGTAAAGAACCGAATGAAAAATGTGTAACCAGTGTGTTACAAAATGCAGTTTTATTACAATCTCTCTAAACAGGTTGTAGAAAGTTTGTTCGCTCACCAGTATATTTCACCCATGGGAATCAAGATGTTCATTCATTTGCTCTCAGTGAATTAATCAGCACGTGATTACTGAGCTTCAAAGGGACTTTTCTTTCGTTAAATTCAATCGAGATGGTGGTTATGACATTTGTATTCTTCATTAGCTTTGTTCTATTTTATAAATAATTTGTTTTTTATTGAATTACATAAACTGTGAATGGCAGAAGGAGCCAGCTTTGTCAAACAGGTTTTTCACAACCTAGTCAGTAATGGTGAGGCCAAACAAAAAATAAGCGTGTTTCCTGTTGCATGAGAAATATAATTGGGGTCGGTAGGTCGGATTTTTTTTACTGATACAACAGTGGAAATGAGCTTACTGGGAACCCTGTGGTGCATTTGGGAATGAAAAAAATATTAGGGTCGGCAAAAATCAGCAAGAAAATTAGAGTCGGTCGTGCAACAGGAAACACACTTATTTTTTGTTTGGCCAGATGCTTTAGATGCTTTAAGAATTAAAAGCGTGAAAACACAACTTTTGTCGTGTTAAATTATTTATATTATGCAGCAAAAGTCTACATTGACTGTACAGCGGGCATCTTGAATTGCAAGGCATTATAGGTGTCTGATGTAACCACAGCATTCTTCTGCTTACTCACCCCTTTTACTTCCTTAAGGTCTCCCTTTAGAAGTGAATCCATCGGAAAAAGAACCATATTGTAATAATCTGTGAACTAAACACAATGGGAAAATTTACGAACTTTGAGGATTGTCCATAATGATTATGATAATCAACACCAAATCAGGGGCGGATCATGGAATTTTAGAACAGAGTTCGTGCTGTGGTAATGACTTTAAATTCAAGGACTATTCAAGGAGTATACAAGGACCCAAAAATGAACTATGCCAAGGATTTACACGGTGGTTGTACATGGCCGACTTTCAGATTTTCCAATCTTTCTGACAAGATCTATTTCAGAACCATGCAAGTAATGATCAAAGCAAAAATTCAAGGAGTTTCGCTAAAATCGTGAAATTCAAGAGCTTTTCAAGTGCCCTTAAAAACGTGAATTAAATTCAAGGAGTTTTCAAGGAGTTTAAGGAGTAGCACAAAGCCTTTGGTCCTTGTTGTCAAGCGGTTAGCATATTGGACTACAGTGTAGATAAGGAATACCAAAGATATAGGTTCAAGTCATGCCGAGGGCATGTAAATGATATTTTTCACCTTGGCCGGCGCTGTCAAACGGATAATTCTTATCCAGTGGATAAATTTATTGGATAACAGCATCGACTTATCCACTGGATAAGGATTTATCCGCCGGATAGTGCTATCCAGGCTTCGTACAACCGGGCCATGATGTTCATTGTATCTTGGAAAGGTTGGTTAGTAAATCATGGGATAATCTACTTACCAATGTCTTCATGATTGAAGATAATTCCTACAAAAAAAACACATCAAGGTTGGAATTTGATAAACATATTTATCAAACTCATGAACAATTCATGAGCAAAACAAAACAGAAATCACGACCGTGAAGAGTGTTGTAAATCTGATACAAAACTGTGTTCATTTGCATAAACTTTAACTTGGATTTTTGGCCAAATTCACTTTAATTTTGAAAATTTTAGTGAAACACAAAGGAATTAAACTAGACATTTGATAAGCAATCTACAGTACTCAAGTCCGTGTTGTATCAGATATACAATCACTTGGCTACGCCTCGTGGTTGTATATCTGATACAACACGGCCACTCATACTGTATATATTACTTAAAACACACAGTCATGATGGAAATAAAACTGTACTTTTCATATGATGAGCCAATAAGAAACTTGAGGCTGCGGCTTTTTATAGTTTTCAGCACCTAGTCATGCAATGCTGTGAGCAGCACATATSTGTAACTTGAAGAATTTATATTTTGATAATGTCACGAAAAGTCTGTTGCACGAGTCATTTTTTTTAGAGTAACTTAAAAACCATGAGGTAAAATATTTTAAATTTTCTATAATATTTTTTTTTGTAGAATGAAAAGGTAACTGACGCAATATGAAAAATATTAGAACTGCAGGAAAATGTTATCTTGAAAAATTGATATTTCTAATATCATATAATAGGTACAGTAACAAAACAATTCTTATTCTCATTCTTATTCACTTGTTGTATTCAACACACCAACACAGTCCCAACTAGTAACCACTAGTCATTCTTATTCACTTGTTGTATTCAACACA